CAGGTGATTTTTTTTTTAAATTAAAAAAAAGGGTTTTTTCAATAGAAATATATTCAAAAATTGAAAAGAAAAAAATACTTTTTTTAATTAAAAAAAGGAAAAGCTCTGCAACAGCTTTTCCAAATAAAAGAAGGAAAACAACCTTTAAATTCATGGGTGGAGCTGGGATAAATAAGGGAAAAAAAAACCTTGGCAGATGGGTTTTGTCAGGAATGGTTTGGGATTGGTAAAGTTTAATGAAATGAGCAGATGATGATTTTTTTAAAATTAAAATAAGGGTTTTTGAATAGAAATATATTCAAAAATTGAAAAGAAAAATATATATTTTTTAAATTAAAAAAAGGAAAAGCTCTGCAACAGCTTTTCCAAAGAAAAGAAGGAAAACAACCTTTAAATTCATGGGTGGAGCTGGGATAAATAAGGAAAAAAAAAAACCTTGGCGAATGAGTTTTGTCAGGAATGGTTTGGGATTGGTGGAGTTTAATGAAATGAGCAGGTGATTTTTTTTAAATTAAAAAAAAGGGTTTTTTCAATAGAAATATATTCAAAAATTGAAAAGAAAAAAATATATTTTTTAATTAAAAAAAGAAAAAGCTCTGCAACAGCTTTTCCAAAGAAAAGATGGAAAACAACCTTTAAATCCATGGGTGGAGCTGGGATAAATAAGGGAAAAAAAAAAAATCCTTGGCAGATGAGTTTTGTCAGGAATGGTTTGGGATTGGTGGAGTTTGAGGAAATGAGCAGGTGATGATTTTTTTAAAATTAAAATAAGGGTTTTTGAATAGAAATAAATTCAAAAATTGAAAAGAAAAAAATATATTTTTTAAATTAAAAAAAAGGAAAAGCTCTGCAACAGCTTTTCCAAAGAAAAGAGGGAAAACAACCTTTAAATCCATGGGTGGAGCTGGGATAAATAAGGGGAAAAAAATCCTTGGCAGATGAGTTTTGTCAGGAATGGTTTGGGATTGGTGGAGTTTAATGAAATGAGCAGGTGATGATTTTTTAAAAATTAGAATAAGGGTTTTTGAATAGAAATATATTCAAAAATTGAAAAGAAAAAAATATATTTTTTAAATTAAAAAAAGGGAAAGCTCTGCTTTCCAAAGAAAAGAAGGAAAACAACCTTTAAATTCATGGGTGGAGCTGGGATAAATAAGGGGAAAAAAAATCCTTGGCAGATGAGTTTTGTCAGGAATGGTTTGGGATTGGTAAAGTTTAATGAAATGAGCAGGTGATGATTTTTTTTTAATTAAAAAAAAGGGTTTTTTCAATAGAAATATATTCAAAAATTGAAAAGAAAAAAATATGTTTTTTAATTAAAAAAAGGAAAAGCTCTG